ATTTCTCATGTAATAAAGCTAAATTTTGATCAAAAAATTTTGATATCATATGCTTTGATCAAATTAGCAGAAAAATATTAAAACTACTATAAATCTTATTTATTTCAATTAATTTGAAGTGTAAATTAATTTTTATGATTTGTGTAAATTATAGAACATGCAATCAATCAAATGAATTTTTAGATTTATATGAATTTGTAGGACATAACAAACAAAAATATATGTTTTCCAATAATAAAATGTAAAAATATTTGTAAGTGTAATTATCACTTACAAATAAATAATGTTGTTACAAATATAATAATGAAAAAATTCTTAATATATCAATTTTTTCAAAAATATATTGTAAGTCTAAATATTATATTTAGTTAAACTTAAATCTATAGAATATGTATTAATGGATTTATGTTATAAAATTAATAAAAACATGTAAATTTTCACCATGGCATATAGTTTTAATACTAATATTTTCATTGGTTAATTTCAATGACATGTTTCTTAAAAACTTTATTAAATAACACATATGATTTTTTCACCAAATATCTACTCAATAATATATAGAGGATTAGTGACACTTTTGAAAAAATTCTAATTGATGGTATTTTTTATTAATTTTGAAAAGTGGCATTTCTCAAAAATTATATACATTTACTAAGTGTCATGCAAATTAATTTTTGTAAGATAAAATATGAGAGATATATATCATTTAATTTTTGTTCTTTTTACATTCTCTCGTGTATTAAAAAATAATTAGTTTTTATTTTTGAATATTCTAATCATGCGTTTGACGTGGATCAAAAAATCTAGTAGGTAGTCTTATTGAAAAGAAAATAAGATATTATCACATAAAATCTTCTATATTAATTACCACATATTCGTTACTTCCATATTCGTTTGATGATTATATATTGTATATATGATATAAATTTGGTTCATGTCATTAAAATTTTTAATAGTTTTCCTTAAGAATTCCTTAAAATCCTCTTTGCATGACACCTAGGATTTTTCAATATATAGAAGATTTCGTAAAATACGTTTTTCATTTTTCTCGTAAGTTACAAAAAAAAAGTATCCAAGAAAATACTGTTATTGTTTTTGTTTTTATTATGAAACAAATATGAAACATCATGCTGTTATTTTTTTATTT